AAAGTTGTTAGTGTATGAATAAGAACAAACTACATCTTCTTTCCCATAATTTCTATCTAGCGGCACTTAAAATATTCAGTTTAAATCGGAGGCATGCCACTCATGTCCATGAACATTATTCTATCTTCCTTCTTCAATTGCTTGATTTGCATCATCTCTTTATCATGAGCTAGCTGNAGTTGAAGAAGTTTAGCAACTAGCAACAAGGACTGACAAACTTGGGTTGAAGCTGGTTTTGGGAGTCAGTCTCGCCAAAAATAGCTAAAAATTAGAGAATAACTAGGGGTTGGAGATGCTCAAAGAGGAGCTATTCTGTTCTTAGCTGATTGATAGTCNTTGAGCTAGTCTCTCTTGTTCTTAAAGATATGATCTTTTCATGAATTCAACTTTCTTTTCCATCAACATCTTTTCCTCCTCCTTCAATTCTTCAAACAGTTTCACGAAATGTGTTGAACTTGAATTATTGCCTTCAGAAAGTTTGTTCTTTGACTTTCTCAGCCTTCCTTCCAGTTGGCCTCTCCAAGCTCCCCTGGGAACAAGTGTCGTCTCCATTGTTTATCAATTCTGGTGTTGAAGGATTAGAGCTACTAGGAGTTGCAACAACTTTTATTTTTTGCTTCTTAGATTGAGAATCCTCCATCCATTTTGGTTCATATCGTAACTTATTCCAACAATGTTCAAACAGAAAAGAGCATATATGTAGTTCCTTGTACACTTTTTTTGCATCACAGATCTGAAAATTGTAAAATAACAATATGTATCATAAATGAAAAGTGCGCTATTTTGACACTCGTAATTAAAAATGCACTCATACCTTTGTCTTTCTCAATCACACTACTTTGATTCAACCTTTCAATTTGGTCAAAATAGCCACAAAATTTATTGGTAGCTAGCCGAATTGTCGACTAACGATTCATCAAAGAAACCTGATTGCGATTACAATCTGACTGGGGTTTGTATTTATTGAAGTACTCTCAAACCCTTTGTTAGTATGTTTTAGATTTTTGCTCATTTCCATGCATTCACGCTAGGTGTTAAAGTCATTTAAGTTTGTTCTGTCGTTCAAGAGATTGGTGAAGTAATATCCATGTTCAAATAGTTCCATATATAATGCCTAGAATTTAACCCAAAGCATCCGTTATTCATGTAATTCAACCCAAATCATACCATAACAATAATTCTAATCAAATTTTAAATAATACAACCTAATAGCAATTTAACACTCATCCACTTCAAATAACAAAAATCAATTGATCATAGCAATTCAACCATGCATTATATAAATTTAACGACAAATCAATAGCAATTTGACCACCTATTTAACCAAAAATTAATAGCAACTTAACCACCAATTGATGTATATCGTAATAGCTCTAATACCAAGTTAATGTAGATTGTTGTATGGAAGAATTGGGGATGAGAAGCGAAGAAGAAGGGGATGAGAAGGGAAGAAGAAGGAGATGAGAAAAGAAGAATAAGTGGATGAGAATAGAGAGAGAATTTGAGGAAAAAATAATATAAGGATTCAATATCAATAATCAATAATCAATAATTAATGTCTAGTCTCACAACAAATATGTATCCCCTATATATATGAGGAGTTCACAAATCCTATATATATAAGGAGATCACAAATTCTAAAATAAATAAATAATTAAAATGACAATTAAACCCTTAAAAGTTAAAAGAAAATATTTAAAAGATAAATATTAAAAGTATCTAAATAATTATCATAATTAATTTATAATATCTATCTAATTCCTACACNCTGGGTTAGAGCTGGTTTTGGGAGTCAGTCTCGCCAAAAATAGCTAAAAATTAGAGAATAACTAGGGGTTGGAGATGCTCAAAGAGGAGCTATTCTCTTCTTAGCTGATTGATGGTTGGGTCTTGATAGCATTGCATCTAGTTCGAGCGATGAGATAATTTTACTTGAATCCAATATGATGACCTCATTCATAATTATTGATGGATTAGTTTTTGATCCCGATATCAAGAGTTTATTATCAATCTTATCATAGTAATAGATAATGTTAGCGAAGTAGGTCTAAGTAACCAGGGGCGGATTCAGCACGGGGTAGCAGTCCTCACTAAAATTTTAAAAAGTTTTGGGTGTTATTTGAATTTCAAAATTTTTTAAGAAAATTTAAATTTGTAACCACTAAAAATTTTATAAACCTTTTTTTTGTCAAAGTAACACTATTGGGATCTAATTTGGGAAGTTAAATCATTGTTATCTTTCGATTATTAGTGGATCCCAATAATCCAATGAAAACAATGGATTAGATTTTTAAGCTAAAATTTTAAATTAAATACATATAGTATTATTGCTAGTTTATATTTTAGATAAGTGTTATTCTTTCATTAAAAAAAAAAACAAATTGGACTTGCACTTACCTCATACGACTTAAATTAAAAGTGTTACGATGAATTTTTTTTTTATAAACATCAATAAATTACTATTACATCCGCTTTATTATAACAGAGGAGGGGGTTGTGTGGGCTTGAAAGATTCAGCTAAAAGCAGATTCTTTACATCCGCTTCATAATAAAAAACAAACTTGGTGAAGACGCTTTTACTATAAAAGAGTCCTTTGAAAGTTAATTTTAAAAACACGCTTATTCAAATGAAATTGGATTCAACAAATACGCTTTCAAAATAAGCGTGATTTAAAAGCAGATGTGTTTATGCCGCTTTCTAGTGAAATCATATTTATTGATTCCACTTTCAAAAAGTGTCATAAATTTGTNGATTTAAAAGCAGATGTGTTTATGCCGCTTTCTAGTGAAATCATATTTATTGATTCCACTTTCAAGAAGTGTCATAAATTTGTAATAAGTTCAAAAGTGCCATAAATTAATATTTTTGTTTGAAAATAACCATACTTTGAAAATAAATTTCAATAAGAATATAACAAATAAACAAGTGAATCCTATATATTACGACAATCAACCCTCCTGGTCATTTGGTAATCATCGAATAGTTAAAAATAACTAGTAATTGGGATTCAACTTGCTCACTTTTAAATTTATCATTAAATAGTGATATTATATAACAATGATAACATGGTGTCACTGTTTTACCCAATACACACTAGGTGGCTGGGGTTTGCTTTTTTTAGAGCTAGATGCATTAAAAAAAAGTGATAGTTATCCGTGTCGAGTACGACAGTTAAAAGTGGAAATTAGATACAGGAGTAGTTGTCTACCGTATCAAAAAAAAAATTGGTACTATACTAATATTTATTATATTAGTGGGTGTTTTTATTATTATTGGTACCAAAAAAATAATAAAAATAATTATCACAACAATGGTAAAAATACCCACAAATATAATAAATTACCCATAAAAGTGGTAAAAATAGTTACCACAAGAATGGTAAAAACACTCACACAGTGGTTAAAATACTCATAAAAGTGGTAAATCACCCACAAAAATGATAAATTTTTTTGTTGAAAAATAACACAAAATTTGTAAAAATAGCTATTAAAATAGTAAATTATGGAGGTGTAGTACCCATTTTTATTTTTATTTTTTATCATTAATCAAAATTTATACAGAGCACACAGAATTAAATAAGAGGCAATGTTATGCTTTCATCCAAAGTTAATAAAATCTAACTTGAGCGTTGAAATAGCCTTAGGCTGGCACCTCACCAATGTCCAAATCTGCGAAGCTATGTTTTCAGTCCACTTTTTTGCAAATGGCAAGAGTCTCTTACGAGTCACCAGATTTATGCATCATCACACATCTCATATGCCTTACGATTTTTTTTTTATTTTCTTTCTTATTACACATGTAGTTGCAACATATAAAGTGAATGGCACAACATATGCACCATATCTTTCGCCCGAATACAGAGTTTTTTTTTTCCCAAAATCAGTCTCCCCACTAACTTTATTCCCAAACCTAGCCTATTTTAAACTTATTTCTCAAACCCAATCTGTTTTTTAAAAACGTTATTTTGAATGACACCTTCATGGGTTAAAACGTCATTTGAAATAACAATTTCAAATTGAAATTTTTTTTACTTAAGTCGTCATTTGGAATGACGTTTTTAAAGGTGTCAGNTGAACTGTTTTAGATAATAAACTGAAGAATAAAGATTCGCCTATAAGTTAGGCAATCAAGATAAGCGAATCAGAGAAATTGAAGATATCAGGAGAAAATAATGGAGAAATATTAGTAACCTGTCAAACCGAATCACTGAATTGGAGGAAGGTGTGCCACCTTGAATCAAGAATTACGGAAACTCTAAGGGGATGCCCAACTATAAAAAGTAAGAGAAGCCAAGAAGAAAGGTATGCTGAATTCTCCTTGACTTAGTGCAATTTTTTCTGTTCCATTACTGACTTAAGCATCGGAGTGTCTTCGATCGAAATACTTCGATCTTGGGTAATTTGTTCGTTTTGCAGGAAGGAAATTAGGAGATTGTTCAGACCTCTTTTTCAGAAACCTTATCTCAAATTTACGTGTAAAGGTATTACCAATTTTTTGCCTCTACAATAACATTCCAACAAAAATTATACAAACAGATTCCACTACAATCTGAAACCTTTTTAGCTTTTAAATACCTCACAAAAAAGGAATCAACCATGAATGTTTGACATGAAATCAAATGCCTATTCAACTTTATCACAAACAATTAACATGCTCTAACAATATAATGAAACCTAACTCAGAATCAAATTAATTGCATGTTAGAAATTAGAGAATTTGGTTAAAGAGAGAGAGAGAGACATAGACAGAGACAGAGAGGGGGGGAAATACGTTGACAGTGTAGCTTCAGCAGATTGGTGGTATGACTAGTCAGAGGAGATGGTCTTCTTTGTCAGAGTTGTCTTCCTCGTCGGACTGGTCTTGTTATAGAAGACGGTGGTTGGGTGGTTGGAGGAGGAGGAGAGAACGATCTGAGAGAGGGGAAGACGGTGGCTGCGTAGTTGGAGGAGGAGGAGGAGAGAATGACATGTGAGAAAGAGAGAGAGAGATCTGAGAAAGGATGGCTGAGTGGTTGAAGGAGGAGGAGAGACCGACTGTGAGAGATGGATTTGAGAGAGGGTCGCTAAATGGTTGGAGGAGGAGGTGACACTGACTGTGATAGAGGTTTTGAGAGGGTGAATTTTTAAAAAAAAATTTATCTAAGTGTTATGTGATTTAGGGCTAATATTACTCGTGTAAATCGTCATTTGGAATGACGCCTTTAGAGTCATCATTCCAAATGAAGTTTTATTAAGTTTCACCTAATGTCATTATCAAGTCGTTTTCAATTCACTTTTTTTAACGTCATTCTCACTGATGCTTTCAAAGACGTCGTTGCAAATGAAGACTTACATAAAAAAAATTTAATTCGAAATCGTCATTTCAAATGACGTTTTAACAACTAAAGGTAAGGCTGTTAGTCGAACGAGCTTGAGCCGAGTTCGAGCCAAACTTGAAAAACTTGTTTCTTAATCATGTTTAAAAAATTGTTCAAGTACGGCTCGTTTAAAAAACGAGCCAAAAACAAGTCAAGACCGAGTAATTGCACATAAACGAGTCGAGCCTATCGAGTTTGAGCCAAGCTTGTAGGACTTGTTTTCTAAACGAGCCTAAAAACTTGTTCAAGTTCAGGCTCGTTTAAAAAACAAACCAAGCCTTAACGAGCTGAACTCAAGTCCAGCTCAAGTAGTTCAATTTGATTAACAGCCCTAGTTGAAGGCGTCATTCCAAATGATTTTTTAAAAAAGAGACTGAGTTTCAAAAATAAGTTTAAAATAAATTGGATTTGAAAATAAAGATGGTGGAGAGGCTGGATTTGGTCAAAAGATCCCCGAATACACATACATATAAATATTCATATCATACGATTATAACCTTTTTAGTAGGCATGTCAATAAAACAAATTTAAATTAGATTTTAACCATATTGAATCCAAATTATATCAACAATAAAAAATTTGATCTAATACAAATAATGCAATTGTTCTAAATTTTAGTAAATATTGGGTATCGCCAACTAATAATAAAACTTCAATTGAGAAAAGTGAATTTTATTTGGGCTTACATGACAAAAGAGTGAGAAGTTATTTTTTACATGACAGATTAGTTATTGATTTTTATAAGATCCATATATTTATTTGTTTTAGTATTATTAATTAATAATACCACATCACTTTATTATGAAATATTAACTTTGTGATGAATATTTTATCATAGAATTTCCCTAAACTTAGGAGGATGACTAACCCTCCGGGACATATGTAAGAGTACATGTATTGACAAGCCAATCCTCGAGCAGTAAGAGGAGGGTGGGAGTGTGAGTGGGAGTGGGAGTGGGAGTGGGGTTCAAATATTGGGTTTAATTATTACACCAAGTAATCATTGTGATGTGATATAATTATTTAATCAAAATTCAATAATCTGATAAAATAGTTCTCACTTCTCTTCAAATTATTGTCACAATATATTAATCGTCACATATTCAAAAAATGGAGTTCATTTGTCCATTTATTTATTTATTATTAGACGATTATACTACATGAGAATGACTTGATGTAATTGTTCCACTTAATATTAACTCCTACTTAAGACAATGATTACTTGACCACCAATAAATTTTATGATTTCTCTTTAAAGTAATGTTATTTGGATCTAAAAATTTGATCTAATTTATTGACATAATTTTGTGGTTTAATAGGAATCATTAGATCAACACCAAATTCTAATGTTTGACGAGACCTATAGTCAATCCAAATAACGCAATAAATTAGGTGAAAATTTTTAGATGTCAATAGCATTGTTCTTCTGTTTATTATTGTGTTTTGCATCCATATCCGTACAATATTTACAACAGCAGCTGTGATAAGAACAGCAATAACTCTCAGATAAATCACGATAAGAACAACAATAACTCTGAGAGAAATCACTAAACCTTTTTCTTTCATCATTCGCATTGGACGTATGTTGGTATTCATAACCACATATGTGCTAAGCAAGACCTCCCTTGTACAACTCTGCAAGCTCAAGCTCTCTCTCTCTCTCTCTCTCCCAAGATGAAGAGCTCCATGAGTTTTGTCCAAACTGCTGTCCTCTTTCTTCTACTAATCATGACCGCTGGTTCTTTCTCTTTCTTATTCTTTAACTGTGTTCTTCATTGGCTATATGCATAGGCAGTTTTGTCTATTATGACCAAATGTCCTCTATGAGTTCCTGTTTAATTATTTTTTTGGTTTTTTTGTGTTTTCACAGAAATGGGTCCAATGAAGGCGGAGGCGAAGTTATGCGAGTATAAGAGCGAACGATTCTGGAACCCATGCTTCAGTGATATAAACTGCGCTAATACTTGCATTAAAGAGAAATTCAACGGGGGGCACTGCAACGGCTTGCGTCGCCGCTGTTATTGCTACAAACCTTGCACCTGAATGGAAGGAAGTTCTTAAAATGTCATTGAAAATGACTCGATCGTCTAATTAATAAGCTTTTCTCATCGATAAATAAAAGTGGCGACCACTTCTACCTATGTTTATGTTATAAGGAAACCACATGACTTTCTCTTATTTTTATTTCATGTGTGCTGTATGGATTCTTTGTATAATTTTCTTAATGAGAAATAAGCAAAATAATAAACCGAAACAGTCTACCCCACTAAAGAATCAAACTGCATTGCCAAAATATGTACAGATTAGAACTTAATTCTGATCAAAGTGGGCAACTTAACCAGAAAATATATACAAGACAATATGAAGAGGCTGGCAGTTGAATTATCAGTAGTAAATTTCCACAAGACATTCATCTGCCAAGACATATAAAAGTTGAACATTATACCCAGAAGTTAATATTGTTGCCCGCCCACCAACACAAGTTGCTACTCCTCAAGTTAATCTAATGGAAGTTATTTTGAAATAAGGTCGAATAGGCTTGGATAATGTATGTACTCACCTTACTTACTAATCCATATTAAAAACAAATTATTTTGTATAGTCTATAAGAGAAGATAATGAATGAAACACTCGTTATGAAAAGAAAGAAGTTGTGCATGTAATTAGAAGAGTGAATATAGCATTAGGTGAATTTAATTAAAATAAGGTGGATATAAAAGGGGTGGGTTTAATAATTTCACAATAAAAATTTTAATAAAATAAAAATAAATATTTATAGGGCGGAAATAGCGCTTGTCGCTCATGCACACACAAAAATATAGCTGTCCAATGTCAAGTTGAGGACATGACGGGCCGGGCCAGCATGGAAAAAAGATCCCAAGTGTTTGCTCACGCCAGCCTTCCCGTTGATTGGGCGAGAGTCTCCTGGTCCATGCCCAGCCTGTGGGCCATACTTCTTTCGCATGCCGTATATAGTTTCAAAATCGATCCGGACAACTCGGCAAATAAATCTGGTCAATAGGTTACTGGTTCAACCATCAACTCACTAATAGAACCGATCAAATAATAAAAAATAATAAATAATTAAAATAAGTTAAAAAATTACAATAATTATAAAAATAAGTTAAATAACATACTTACTGCATATTACATCAAACAAAAATCCCAAAATCATCAAACAAAAATCCCAAAATCATCAAACATGAATCCAATATCAAATAACTAATAGGAATGATTCAATATTTCACATCTACATTCAAGTATGTGCATTATAATTTACAACCATACAAAGGAATTTCTTTTTTTTTTTTAAATTTGCTCTTAAAAAATTTGTTCTTCCAATTCTAAAGTTCCAACAGTTCCAAAATTCCAACACCAAATAGCATAATCAACTACAAAATTATAAATACAAATCAACTAATAACATAATATAAGAGCTGAATGAATCCTCAAATCAAATAATATCACACTTACAAACAAAATATAATAGCAGATTGTAGAGAGAGAGAGAGAAACGCAATATATATTTGATACTGAGAGAAAAGGATGAAAATCTGTCATGACCTGTGAGTTAAAGTTTCAAAAATTTGTTTTTGAGCCTTGAGATAACTGAGTTGAAGAGTTGAATGAATCTAATATTTGAGATCTGAGTACTTCGATTTCGATCAATAGTTCGATTGGGTTGAGTGATTTATTGTTGAGGGGGTGAGGCCTAAGTTGAGTACACAGAGAGAGAGAGAGTCGCTCATTGATCGTTGAAGAACCAGACCAGACTCAGCAGAGAAGGAGATTAATATTTGGGCAAAAATGCCCTAGAACTTTGCTTTTATAGCTTTAAAATGAAACCATCCGAATCAGCGGATTCTTACTGGTTCTTTTACTCGACTGATAGCTAAATCGGCCTGGTTTAGGCTCCAATTTATTGGGTCAACCAGCCGGGCCGGGCTGAATTTTAAAACACTGATGCCCTGTCCATAAGCATTATTTTCTTATTTTTCAATTGTTATTCTTATTTTTCTTTTCAAACTGGCATACTTGGGAAATAATATGTCAAAAAATAAATAAGTAAACAAGAGATACAAGATCTTGGGCTGGACTTGACCATGGCCCAAGACCTACAGCCCGTGCCAAAAACTCCATCGGTTTAATTTTGACGGATTTGGACGCGGTTCCTAGACCTAATAGGATTCCAAAAAAAATTGTGAAAATTGGGGCTGAATCCTCCTAGATAGACTTAAAATGACTTAAGTCCGACAAGAAAATTTATTTGGGTGTAAATCCATTTTTAAACTTATATGTAAGTATTTATGTCCACTTTTTTTTTAATCTCAAAAATACTCCTAAAAGTGTTAATTTTATTTAGTTATAAAAAGTCATAGAAGTTATTTCATTGAGATATATATGGAAAGAAGATATGTCTGTCTGATTTTATGCTAGTAATTACTTGTCACGATCTTTTCATAACTCTCTCTCTCTCTCTCTCTCGCCTCATATAACTTTCCTTTCCTAGACAGACTCCTCACAAGTTCCCATATATGTCTTCCCAAAAATCAAAGTCTCAGAGGCCATTGCCACCACCAATCTAAAATTCCCAACCCACCGCCATCAACAACGCACTAAACCTCTCCTATTCGTTACTCCCACAGCATCAAACCCACCCACCAAAAACTTAGACCAAATGTCCCGCATGTTACTATTTTTTCAATTCTTGAAATACCATGTTACTACTTTTTTTTTTTTTTTGCGCATGTTACTATTTTTTTTGCGCATGCTATTACTTTTTTGGATGATCGGCGGAGTTTTGATTTAGGTCTCGATTTAGTTGGTTGTGTATTTTTGTGAAAAAGACGACGTTATACCGGTACAATTTTTTTTCCATGTTACTATTTCTGTTTTGTTGGGCTTGTTTATTTTACTACTTTTTATCATGTTACTNATAATATTTTTTCTACTAATTAAATCAACTGTGGTTGGAACTGAGGCCATGGGCCATGGCCTCTCCCTCATGTTTTCAAAACAAACCATTGTATACATAGGATATTTAATGAATTTACTCTTAAATAATTTTTTGGTCCCTCAACAAATACCACAAAGAATGTAGTGGTAAAGGCACCATGATTGAAAATTCAAGAAGGCTAGTTCGTCACAGGTTCAACCGTTCAAGTCGCTTGGGCACTAGATGGTAGGCCCGCAACTAATCAGATTCGGACCGAATTTGGGTCCATTTGAATTTGGATCCAACNCTAGTTTTTGTTTTTAATGTTAATATTAAATATTACTATTTTTTTGAAATATTAATATTAAATGTTACTATTTTTTATTGAGTATGTTACTATTATTTTTTTCAAATCAAATCTTTACATAATTAAAAAAAAAAAATTATCAATAGGAGAGAGAGAGAAGAGAGAGAAGAGAGTAATAGAGAGAGAGGAAGAGTAATAGAATAATGATTGGCCTTTTAGTCTTTTTTNTAATTCATATCCGAATCCACTTACAAATAATCAGACATCCGGTCCGACTACCCAATCTAGTCTATAATGGTATTCCACCAAAATTTTAGCAAATAATATTTTTTTTAGATCAAATGAAAATTATTTAAATACATATATGTGTATATATGTATATATNAAAAAATGTACTTAAGATTAAATAAATTCTTTTAATATAGTTTAACTCAATTAAATTCAAATTTTTGTATGGACTTCAAATTTCTCTATTGTTAAAGGTCTTTTGTGTAGCACCTACCAAACTTTGGTCGTACTATCCAATAGTTGGGCACATGCATCCAATCTTTTGGCAGCTCCTTAGTAGGGAACATATCTATAGAAAATCGGAGTCGGCTATAGTATCAAACAAAAAAATTTAGAATTGTATTGCCAAATTTTATAAATTTTGTGGGTTAAAATCCAACCTCTTAAGTTTGTTTATGATAAAAAAAACTTTGCAGATAATTTTGTAACTTTTATAGTTCAAGTTATAATTTTTATGGGCTATTTACAACTTTTGTGAATCATTTTCGTCAATTCTAAAAATTTTAGAATCGATCACAAGTAATCTCAAAAATTATAAATAATCTCCAAAAGTTATAAATGATCCTCAAATGTTGTAAATGACAATCAAAACTTATAAATGACTCTCAAAAGTTAGAAATGACCATTAAAATAGTAGAAATAAACTGTAAAACTTGTAATTGCGATACAACACCGATATTTTTTTTTTTTTTTGGTAATGTAGACTTCTCTTAGAAAACCCTCGGATGTGAAGAAATTTCAATCATCACTTCACAAGGATAAAATTTAGTAGAATAATTATATCAAAAAAAATAAACTAATCCAGTCGATTATAGCAATAATATTTTTTCTACTAATTAAATCAACTGTGGTTGGAACTGAGGCCATGGGCCATGGCCTCTCCCTCATGTTTTCAAAACAAACCATTGTATACATAGGATATTTAATGAATTTACTCTTAAATAATTTTTTGGTCCCTCAACAAATACCACAAAGAATGTAGTGGTAAAGGCACCATGATTGAAAATTCAAGAAGGCTAGTTAGTCACAGGTTCAACCGTTCAAGTCGCTTGGGCACTAGATGGTAGGCCCGCAACTAATCAGATTCGGACCGAATTTGGGTCCATTTGAATTTGGATCCAACTAAAAAATTAATTATCGAATCTAATCTGTTTACCCGATGGACATAAAAATATTAATTCATATCCGAATCCACTTACAAATAATCAGACATCCGGTCCGACTACCCAATCCAGTCTATAATGGTATTCCACCAAAATTTTAGCAAATAATATTTTTTTTAGATCAAATGAAAATTATTTAAATACATATATGTGTATATATGTATATATATAATATATTATATGTAATAAAGGTCAACATATATGTTTATATTAACCTGATTGAATTGACCACCAAGCTCCAGGCAGGTTGCTGACCAGATTCATCTCCTGATCAACCAAGAGGGGACACCTAAAAAGGCAAGTCAAAGACTGGAGGGATCGACCCTACAATGATTAAGCCAGAAAATGA